AAGAAGCGCGAGGAAGATCGCAGATCAGGAACTCCGCAGCAAGCGCTCCAAGCGGAAAATTTTCCAAGTAAAAAAGCTAGAGATGGGATTAATGATTTGCGATTCTGAAATGATAATCGAGAAGTGATTTAATAAATACGATCGGATGGTGAAACCGTTACACTCGCCCCAACTTAACCAAAAAAAAAAATCGAAGAAGCATTCAAGAATTTTTTTTTACTAGGAAATTGAAAGTTATCACGGAAGGACAAATGTACAACCATTCGACCAGATAACAAGTAGCACAAGTAAGGTAAAAACAAAAATGTTAGAAGAGAATTGGAAGAAAAAGGGATAGCCTCAAGTCTACCAAACAAGAGGGATGGTTATAACACCTACTCGCTGAAAAGTACAGAGAAGTTGCATTTAAAAAAACTATCATCATATGATGAACAACCCAAAACACAAAACATCGTCATACCTAGGACGAGAAAAATAATAAACCAAAAGCTTCAGCAGTAGTCCAAGCATGAAGTGAGGAATCACAATGGCATCCAAAATGCACGACTGACTACTAAAAACTTCAAAACTAAGTAAGTACCTAAACCATAAGAGGTACTAAAAAAATAATAATAATTTTTCTCAAAACAATTGCCAGATTATCTCGCAATACTCCAAACCCAAAAAGAATATCATCTACAGTGATATTTTAAAGCAATATCCAATATAAAAAAACAGTGCATTACTATTTTCAAAATATGAAAATCAAAAGGAATTAACAAATTCCATTAGGAATTCAAGTCATATAACAAAACAATTTACAAGTACTAAAGCAATGAAAACTTGATCAAGAAGGTATTTTTATCAAAAAAGATGTTAACTAAGTGCAGTTCTGATTCCACAAAAAAATTGTCGGGCGCCAGCAGTCTGTAAGACTACAAAATAATTCAAAATATTTTCAGAGAATTAAAGTATATAAGAGACATTCATGAAATATTGAAGTAAGATTTTCAAAGTCAAAATATAGCTTAAGTTCAATCAATGAACTAAAATTCAAGAGTAAGTTCAATCAATTTTCGGGTCATGTGACAACATAAGAACCAGACCAAAAAAAAATTCTAAGTTCAATATAGAAAAGAGCAAAATAAATTTCCAAGAAAAACTAAGTGCAACACAAGTGCAACTGTAAATCTAATAGTATTAAAATCATAAAGTGAAAGGAAATATCAAAGCTATATGAGCATGATTTTATGAAGAATTCTCAAAAAAAATACAAAAGTAAGCAAAATATTAAAAGTTTCATGAGTAATAAATGAGAAACGAAGTGAGCATATGTAAAATGCAAAATAGCGAAACGAAAATCACAAGATATTTTAATAAATCATGATACATGAGAGTAATGCCGCGAGCAAAAATTGTATGCAAAAGTCTACGATATACATATATAGGTGCAAAATTGGAGTTATAAAAAAACAATCTAGTGAACAAGAAATAGAAATAAATATGATAGGTAAGAGTTCGAATTTTGATTTAAAGCAAAAATATCAGAGAAAGACAACTTTCTAGGTCACCATAGGTGCACTCCAAAGCCCTAGACAAGAATGTCTATAGTCTATGGAATATTCTCATGTAGATCACTGATATCATCAGCGCATTTCAAAGTCTACACCGAGAATAACCATAACATTGTAAAATGAAAGTTAAGTTCAAATATGAAATATTACAAGATTAGAAAAACTATAATAATTTACCAGTGTAAAGTATGAAAAAAGAATTACTATACTGAATCTATAAGAATTGGCGATTACTTCAAGTCAAGACAGAAATTGAAAGAAATAAGAAGTCGGAAAAACAATTACGAGAGCAGACTATCAAAACAAATGCAATAATACAAAAGCAAAATCACAAGATATTTCAAAATCTATAGCGAAACATGAAAGCAATGTCGCAACCAAGCTCAAGACTTAGCAATACGCACAAATGTGCACAAAGGCTGAAAGCATATATGAAAAATCTCAAGAAGGAATTGACAATTACTTCAAATCAAATTGAACTGATTGAATTGAACTGAGACATAAATTACTATATCAAAAGTGAGTTTTACTTATACGCCAGAGGTTTCAAGAGTTTATCAATACGCACAGATTTGCAACTAGGCGGAAAGCATATATGACAAGTCTCAAGAAGAAAATAAAGCATATGAAGAAAACACTTTCAATTAAAGAAACTGTGGATAGTACAAGACCCTCAAAGGCATACATCGCAACGAATCTATGTAACTATCCAGACTACAAAATACTGTCAAAGTTCAAAACCACTCAAAAATATGTGAACAAACATCAAAAGTTTGAACCAAAAAAAATGTAAGTCTGTGCTCTCGAAGAAAGTTATAATGAATTCAAAAAGAGGATACTATCAAAAACTTCAAAAGTAATAGACTTCAAACATAGAGGTACGTAAGTACGTACAAGAAATTCAGAAAATATGCGCATAAAAACATTATAAAATATTATACACAGTATTTGTCACATGATTTTGATCGGGAATGCAATTTAAATTTTGAGTACACTCAGAAAAAAATGAAATATTCAAAAGATAAAGTATACACATTAAGTTAGAATCAGAAAAATAATTATGACTTATAAATTTTGTAAATGGTGGACTGACGTAATAGTTCAAAAGGTTGAAAGAACAACGATGACAAATGTCCAAAGTAAACATTCAACTGCCTTTTACAGAAAATTAGCTTAACAATTATCAAAGGAAATTCTTATCCATTCGCATCTGTACTAGGAAATAAATATAGGAAAACCTACTCGCTCCAATGTACAGATCGAAAAGCTCGCCCCCTTCGATTGAGCGGTTTATAGTATTGGACTGATTGTAATATTTCAAAAGGATGAAAGAACAACGATGTTAAATGTCCAAAGTAAACATTCAGCTGCCTCTTACAGCAAATAAGTTTATTCATTATCAAAGGAAATTCTTGTTCGTTCTCATCTGTACTAGGAAATAAATATAGGAAAACCTACTTGCTCCAATGTACAGATCGAAAAACTCGCCCCCTTCGATTGAGCGGAAATATGTGTATTGGACTGGTTATATTATTTCAAAAGGTTGAAGGATCAACGATGTTAAACGTCCAAAGTAAACAATCAGCTGGCTCTTACAGCAAATAAGTTTAATCATTATCAAAGGAAATTCTTCTCCGTTCGCATCTGTACTAGGAAATACTAAATATAGGAAAACCTACTCGCTCCAATGTACAGATCGAAAAACTCACCCCCTTCGATTGAGCGGAAATATGAGTATTGGACTGATTGTAATATTTCAAAAGGTTGAAGGATCAACGATGTTAAATGTCCAAAGTAAACAATCAGCTGCCTCTTACAGCAAATAAGTTTATTCATTATCAAAGGAAATTCTTCTCCGTTCGCATCTGTACTAGGAAATAAATATAGGAAAACCTACTCGCTCCAATGTACAGATCGAAAAACTCGCCCCTTAGATTGAGCGGAAATATGAGTATTGGACTGATTGTAATATTTCAAAAGGTTGAAGGATCAACGATGTTAAATGTCCAAAGTAAACAATTAGCTGCCTCTTACAGCAAATAAGTTTAATCATTATCATAGTGTCCTTATGGGGATTGAATCTCAGTAGTTCTAAAATCGGCCACCAGAGGCGCTGGCGTCGCGCGCCATTGATGGGTTGGACGGAATCTGTATGTGAAATTGACGAGTTGGGGATGCCGCCGCTAGATGGCGCTGTACAAACCAAACGGAATCTATGTGTCATTGGACACGGGTTGGGCATCTCGCGCATAGATGGCGCCGATTTGTTGTCTGGCGCTGTACAAACCAAACGGAATCTATGTGTCATTGGACACCTGTCATTGATGGGTTGGGCATCTCGCGCATAGATGGCGCCGATGTCGCACCTGTCTGGTGTTGGCGTGGATTACGGGGGGCATTTAGAACCTGTATTCAGGGGTGCATCGAAAAATAGCGGATCGATGGACCGACGGTATATCGTTAAATCGTATATAGCAAGGCGTGACCTAAATAGCGTGGTGGGCTCCTCTGGTCGGTCGGTCGGTCAGAATGTCTCATAACCTGTATACGATGTACTGTTATTATTATACAGGATGATACCGTTCAAAATGAAAATAGTATAATGGATATTTTATTGAAACATATAGTATATATAACAATAAGGTTGATTGGTGTGTGTGTGCCATGTTTTGAATACCCGCGCTTGAACAACTTGAAACAAGACATTCTGACAATTATTTCGCAAACCAGAGGTATTTTCAATAAAACTACAATAATACGTTTAATATTTTATTGAAAATAGAAAAAAACTACATAGGTAATATGATATTTGAAAACCAGTGGCGTAGACGTTCAACATTTCTCTGGGTACAGGAAAGTTGTCCGTTGGTGTGACATGGATTGGAATCAGCAACAAAGTTTCCAGTAGCACACGGTGTACCATCATACTTGCAAACATCAATAATGTTGGGAAAAACACCAAACATGTGACATTTCTTGAGTAAAAAGTTTGCTTTCTGTTCTCCACGATCGTAGACATAGTCAGCCGCATATATCACCTTATTTTTAATTATTTCATTTAACTTGGAATATTTAACGTCGCCGGAAGAATATTTAAGCCCATGGAAATTCTTCTCCAAGTAAGCGACAGTTTTCTTGTCTTTAGTATTTAATGTAGAAAAAGGTTGCGGAGGTGTAAAGATATTGTTGGTAGAGAAGTGGACTGTATTTTTTTTCGGCTTTTATTTTACTTTTACAATCCTAGCTGGTATTATTTGAATAACAATAATGTTGGTTTGTACGGCGTCGTGTCTGTGTGTCAACGACTCGATCATGTCTTCTTTCAATATGGCGGCCACCCCTTCCTCTTCTCCTCGTCGGCGTTGCCACGTTGTGGCTGTTTTACGTGATCTGGCGGAAAGGAGCTCAACATAACTCCCCACCTTGAAGGGCCAGGCCTTCAACATCTTAGTCGTGGATGGGTAAAGGACATAGTTTGGAGAATGCCCTTTTGACTTCACCACGCTGTGTCTTCAACGTAGCCACTCTAGAAACACCATGAACGTCTCTGGACACAGATAACACTCGACCAAGCATCCACTTCATTGGTGGGATGTTATCTTCTTTAATCAGAACCAACATTCCTGGTTCCAGCACCCGTTGATCATTTGTAGTCCATTTCTTTCTGCGCTGCAACTCTGCCACGTATTCCACGTTCCATCGTTTCCAAAAATGCTGCTTGACGTTTTGAATTTTTTGAAATTGAGACAGTTTGTGTTGCTGTATATGCGTAACATCAGGATCTGGCACCTCGCCTGTAGTCCTTCCCAGGATGAAGTGAGCCGGGGTTAAAGGAAACAGGTCATCGGGGTTGGTGGATAAGGGAGATATAGGTCGCGAGTTCAAAATAGCTTCTATCTGAACAAGTATGGTGTATAACTCCTCAAACGTAAAATGTTGTTCACCAACTACACGTTTTAAATGATACTTAACTGATTTTATTCCTGCCTCCCATAGGCCTCCAAAGTGAGGCGAATGCGCGGGAATAAACTGCCAATGGATTTCGTCTTTAGTAAATGCCTCACAAAGTAAATCTTTATTTTTGTCTAAAAAGGTACCTAGTGCCCTTAATTCCGAATTTGCGCCTACGAAATTCCTCCCATTATCGGACCAAATTTGACGGGGTTTACCTCTTCGAGATACGAATCGTCTTAAGGACAATATGAATGATTCCGTAGACAAATCTGTGACCAACTCAGTGTGCACGGCTTTTGTACAAAAACAAATGAATAAGCAAACGTAGCATTTCACTAATTTTGCACCGCGACCTTTTTTATCTTTCATAAGCAATGGGCCTGCAAAATCTACTCCAGTTATTTCAAATGGATATTGACCTTCAAATCTAGATTTTGGCAAATTTCCCATAATGGGATTCAAAATTCTAGAGTTATGTCTAAAACATATAACACATTTTTTTATCACAAATTTTACAAGACTATTTCCGGAAGGTATCCAGAATTTTTCACGGAGAGACGCCAGCAACGCTTGGGGCCCTACGTGATATAATCGTAGGTGTTCTCTTTCACAAATCAGTTTTGTGAGGTTATGTTTAGGAGACAAGATAATGGGATGTCTCTTGTCATAATTATACGCACTATTTGTTAGTCGGCCTCCAACACGCATTATGTGATTTTCATCTAAATATGGGTTGAGGGTCAAAAGTTTGCTTTTTTTACTAATTTTTTTGTCTGATTTTAAATCAGAAATTTCCTGACCAAAACACTCCCTTTGTGCAGCTTTAATTAGACACATGAAAGCATGATCGATCTCCTCCATTGTAAGGATGCCCATTATCCTTTTTTCAGTACTCGTGGATGAATTTTTTATGAAGCGAAATAAATACGCAGCGACACGTTTGAGTTTTGTTAAAGTTGAAAATTTATCAAAAGGAAAAGAATTTGCGTGGAATGATAAAAGATTGGTACTCTTTTCTTTGAATTCAGGTAGCTTTTTCTCGTCTTGCCCTGGGCGAGGCCATTCTGATTCATCATTCAATAGGAAAGGAGGCCCTGCCCACCACAAACTATTCACCGTTAAGTCCTTAGGGTACATTCCTCGAGATAAAATATCCGCAGGGTTCACTTTAGTTGGCACGTGTCGCCACTGACATAGGTTTTGAGTTTCTAAATTTTGTATTTCAGACACTCTATTTGCCACAAAAGTCTTCAATAAATTTGGTATGGTTTTGAGCCATCCAAGAACTACTTTGGAATCGGTCCAGCAGTAAATGGTATCAAAGACTATTTTAACCGAATTCACAACCTTGTAAATTAACTTGGCCAAAATCAATGCACCGCATAATTCCAACCTTGGAATACTAATTGTTTTTAGCAGAGCCACCCTTGACTTTGCGCATAATAAGGAAACGTGAATTTTTCCATTCGTGTCTATAGATCTCACATATATTGCTGCTCCGTATGCTTCTGCACTCGCGTCAGAAAATCCGTGTAATTCAACTTTCATAGCATCATCACAAATAACCTTGCGATTAATTTGTATCTTATTCAATTCCATTAAACTATTTTTTAGTTTGAGCCATTGTTTTCCTAATTCTGGCGATAGTGCTGAGTCCCAGTCTATTTTTTCTAGCCATAATTTCTGAAGCAATACTTTAGCTATAATAACACACGGACTGACTAATCCCATGGGATCAAACAATTGACTTATGTCTGACAAAATTGACCGTTTTGAGACCTTATCATGATCCTCACTCGGTGACACTTCAAAATTGAACGTATCAGATTTTTTATTCCAGGATAGACCAAGTGCTTTAAAACATTCTGTTCTATTTATCACCAACGAGTCAGTTTCCAACGTTGAGACATTCATTTTTCGCAAAATTTCATCACTGTTAGAACTCCACTTTCGTAATTCAAATCCTCCGCTCTTCAAAATTTTGAAAACATCATTGCCTAACTTTACCGCACTATCAATACTGTTGGCACCCATTAACATGTCATCGACATAGAAACAGTTCAAGATTATTTCCGAAGCGTCGGGATCTGAAACTTGATGTTGTATAGACAATTCTTTGATGCACCTCGTTGCTAGATATGGCGCGGATTTTGTCCCGTACGTTACTGTTTTGAGTTCGTAAGTGGCTAATGGCAGAGAAGGGTCATCTCTCCATAAAATGCGCTGCAAACACTGCTGCTCTTTTTCGACTAAAACTTGTCGATACATTTTTTCGACATCTCCGCATAGAACAAAACGGTAAGTTCTAAATCTTAAAATGATTGACATCAAATCATTTTGCACGACTGGCCCTAACATTTGTAAGTTATTTAGTGAGTAACCCGTAGTTGATGGCGCAGAAGCATCAAAAACTACTCGCAATTTAGTTGTCAAACTGTTTTCGCGTAAAATGCCATGATGAGGCATATAATAAACATTGTCGCTGTAACTTACTCCATCCAACTTTGTCATGTGACCTAAAGATTGGTATTCTAATATGAATGCCTTATACATTTCTTTAAACTGAGGATTTGCCTCAAGTTTCCTTTCTAAACTCAAAAATCTTTTTTCAGCATGTTCTCGGGAGTCGCCGAGTTTGCTTATATCATCCTTGAAAGGAATAGACACAATAAAACGACCGTCATTACTTCGCCTCGTGGTTTTGCTAAAATGTTCTTCACACATTGTTTCTTCATATGATAGCGGATTCGCGCAATTGACTTCCTCAATTTCCCAAAATCGCGTTACTTGGTTTTGGAGATCTTGATTTACCGAAAAATTACAATAAGTACTGTTGTAACAGGCAACAGCATTATTTGGTACATTGCCTGAGACTATCCAACCTAAACGTGTTCGCTGTAATATGGGCAAGCCCGGCCCTAGCTTCGTCTGACCAATGCATAATAAATCGTAAAATAAGTCAGCACCTATCAACATTGAAACCTTGGCTGGAATATTGAAATTTGTATCCGCTAACCCGATATGTATTGGAATATTCAATTTGCCAACATCAATAGGAACATTTGGTATGAGCCCGGTAATCTCAGGAATCACAAAACAACTCACAATTTTTTTATAATCATTCCGTATAGACTCTATTTCCACTGAACATCTATGTTTTATTCGAGAAGCCGTGTTGTTTATTCCCTCAACAGTCAAATCTATTGTTTCCTTTTTAATTCCCAACTGATCACATACATCCGAGGTTAAATAGCTTGACTGACTGCCCGAATCAAGAACCGCTCTGACAATTGCGCTTTTTCCATGTTTTTCCCGGACTATAACAGATGCGGTGGACAACAACACGAAGTTATTGGAACCGAACACTGATATCGCGACTGATGCCGTTTCCGCGCCATTCTGATTCATCATTCAATAGGAAAGGAGGCCCTGCCCACCACAAACTATTCACCGTTAAGTCCTTAGGGTACATTCCTCGAGATAAAATATCCGCAGGGTTCACTTTAGTTGGCACGTGTCGCCACTGACATAGGTTTTGAGTTTCTAAATTTTGTATTTCAGACACTCTATTTGCCACAAAAGTCTTCAATAAATTTGGTATGGTTTTGAGCCATCCAAGAACTACTTTGGAATCGGTCCAGCAGTAAATGGTATCAAAGACTATTTTAACCGAATTCACAACCTTGTAAATTAACTTGGCCAAAATCAATGCACCGCATAATTCCAACCTTGGAATACTAATTGTTTTTAGCGGAGCCACCCTTGACTTTGCGCATAATAAGGAAACGTGAATTTTTCCATTCGTGTCTATAGATCTCACATATATTGCTGCTCCGTATGCTTCTGCACTCGCGTCAGAAAATCCGTGTAATTCAACTTTCATAGCATCATCACAAATAACCTTGCGATTAATTTGTATCTTATTCAATTCCATTAAACTATTTTTCAGTTTGAGCCATTGTTTTCCTAATTCTGGCGATAGTGCTGAGTCCCAGTCTATTTTTTCTAGCCATAATTTCTGAAGCAATACTTTAGCTATAATAACACACGGACTGACTAATCCCATGGGATCAAACAATTGACTTATGTCCGACAAAATTGACCGTTTTGAGACCTTATCATGATCCTCACTCGGTGACACTTCAAAATTGAACGTATCAGATTTTTTATTCCAGGATAGACCAAGTGCTTTAAAACATTCTGTTCTATTTATCACCAACGAGTCAGTTTCCAACGTTGAGACATTCATTTTTCGCAAAATTTCATCACTGTTAGAACTCCACTTTCGTAATTCAAATCCTCCGCTCTTCAAAATTTTGAAAACATCATTGCCTAACTTTACCGCACTATCAATACTGTTGGCACCCATTAACATGTCATCGACATAGAAACAGTTCAAGATTATTTCCGAAGCGTCGGGATCTGAAACTTGATGTTGTATAGACAATTCTTTGATGCACCTCGTTGCTAGATATGGCGCGGATTTTGTCCCGTACGTTACTGTTTTGAGTTCGTAAGTGGCTAATGGCAGAGAAGGGTCATCTCTCCATAAAATGCGCTGCAAACACTGCTGCTCTTTTTCGACTAAAACTTGTCGATACATTTTTTCGACATCTCCGCATAGAACAAAACGGTAAGTTCTAAATCTTAAAATGATTGACATCAAATCATTTTGCACGACTGGCCCTAACATTTGTAAGTTATTTAGTGAGTAACCCGTAGTTGATGGCGCAGAAGCATCAAAAACTACTCGCAATTTAGTTGTCAAACTGTTTTCGCGTAAAATGCCATGATGAGGCATATAATAAACATTGTCGCTGTAACTTACTCCATCCAACTTTGTCATGTGACCTAAAGATTGGTATTCTAATATGAATGCCTTATACATTTCTTTAAACTGAGGATTTGCCTCAAGTTTCCTTTCTAAACTCAAAAATCTTTTTTCAGCATGTTCTCGGGAGTCGCCGAGTTTGCTTATATCATCCTTGAAAGGAATAGACACAATAAAACGACCGTCATTACTTCGCCTCGTGGTTTTGCTAAAATGTTCTTCACACATTGTTTCTTCATATGATAGCGGATTCGCGCAATTGACTTCCTCAATTTCCCAAAATCGCGTTACTTGGTTTTGGAGATCTTGATTTACCGAAAAATTACAATAAGTACTGTTGTAACAGGCAACAGCATTATTTGGTACATTGCCTGAGACTATCCAACCTAAACGTGTTCGCTGTAATATGGGCAAGCCCGGCCCTAGCTTCGTCTGACCAATGCATAATAAATCGTAAAATAAGTCAGCACCTATCAACATTGAAACCTTGGCTGGAATATTGAAATTTGTATCCGCTAACCCGATATGTTTTGGAATATTCAATTTGCCAACATCAATAGGAACATTTGGTATGAGCCCGGTAATCTCAGGAATCACAAAACAACTCACAATTTTTTTATAATCATTCCGTATAGACTCTATTTCCACTGAACATCTATGTTTTATTCGAGAAGCCGTGTTGTTTATTCCCTCAACAGTCAAATCTATTGTTTCCTTTTAATTCCCAACTGATCACATACATCCGAGGTTAAATAGCTTGACTGACTGCCCGAATCAAGAACCGCTCTGACAATTGCGCTTTTTCCATGTTTTTCCCGGACTATAACAGATGCGGTGGACAACAACACGAAGTTATTGGAACCGAACACTGATATCGCGACTGATGCCGTTTCCGCGCGCTCCCCACCGTTTGAATTTGACGGCTGTTCGAACGTATCGTTTGAATTTCGCGGCGCTTCCCCAGCGTCGTTTGCGGAATGAGCAGATTCTAGCTCTGTTGCCAAATTGCTTCTCGACGTTTCTTTGTGCAATAGCACATGATGTTTATAATTGCATCTTTTACAAGTGTTTGCTCTGCAGACGGTACTAAAATGTCCGGGTTTCAAACAATTCAAACACAAACGTAGTTGTTTTGCCTTGTCAATTCTTTCGTTGACACTTAATTTATTAAAAATGCCGCAACCTGAAATCCAATGATTTTTTTTGCACACAACACAGGATGCATTTGCAGATAACAAACCTCTTGTTTGTCCTATTCTGTTATGTTTACTCTCAAATTTCTCAGCTGCTTTTTCTTGATTCTTCGATTCAATCGTTTGAAGAAAGTCAGCACGATCAATTAAAAATTCTCTAAACTTTTCAATAGTAGGTCCCCTGAATTTTTTGTTTTGTTTTTCCCAATCCTGATTAGTTACTTTTGGCAGTTTTGAAGTTACAATGAAAATAATTAACGCATCCCAATTATCAATTGGTTGGCCTAACTGTACAATGGATCTGAGGTGTTTAGACAATGTATCTATTATTTTCCTCAGCTCAGATGCCGATTCCCTCATGATTTTTTCTATATTGAAAATGCCTTGTATGTGCTGATGCACCAGCACCTTTTCATTATTATACCTCTCCTTGAGAGCCTTATACGCATTCTGATAATTATAACTTGAAAACTCTAAGGATACTAAAATATTTGCGGCATCACCGACTAAGGATGCACGCAGGTAGTGAAATTTTTGTATATCAGTGATGTGATCATTGAGATGGATCAGAGATTCGAAAGTATCTCTAAACTCCAACCATTTGTCTGATCGCCCATCAAATTTTGGCAGGTCGATAGTGGGAAGACGCACGTTTAAATTTTCATTAACATTTTGGTGTGTAATTCGCGATCGGGCACTTACTTCGCTTTTATTTGAGCCGCCATCAGACTTTATACTTTCGTTAACGCTGGCACTGGTTTGATTCGAACCGCAAGATTTGACGCTTTTTATGCTCTCTACTTCTGACGATTTTTTCAACAACTGTTTCAACCTGGCCAAACACCTATCGTATTTGTTTTCGAAATCAACCCTTTCTTGAAACTGATCAGGTTCGTCTGATAGCGATTCAATTTGACATTGTATCCCCGCGAACTCATCCCACAAAAGAGGCATACGATCGGCCTTTTGTTTCCATTCTACAAATTGCAATTCTTCAATACTTGAAATATCCTTTTCAACTGCATCTAGCTGTTTTACTAGATGAGTTAATCTAAATTTTACTGATCCTCTTTTTTTGATTAAAATTTTAAGCAATTGACCGTCATCTACAGTATCATGTTGGTCGGCCATTTTCAAATTATTTATTTTAGGCAAATGCAAAATTCAAATAAAGCAACTCGCTAAGGATTACGTTAGGAAAGCGGATAAACTAGGAACGACTCACAGGGTATCTCCCACGATGTCCTTCAGGTGCATGGAATCAGCATCGGCGACGGCAACCACCAGGGTATCTCCACAGCGGCAGCAACGTAACACCGGGTCCTGCAGAGTGTCTTCTGCACGGGCACAATTTTATTGATTCCCGATCCGCGATCCGGCTTGACTTGGACCAATTTATGTTGGTAGAGAAGTGGACTGTATTTTTTTTCGGCTTTTATTTTACTTTTACAATCCTAGCTGGTATTATTTGAATAACAATAATGTTGGTTTGTACGGCGTCGTGTCTGTGTGTCAACGACTCGATCATGTCTTCTTTCAATATGGCGGCCACCCCTTCCTCTTCTCCTCGTCGGCGTTGCCACGTTGTGGCTGTTTTACGTGATCTGGCGGAAAGGAGCTCAACAGATATAATGACTTTTCTTGAAACCAATTTCGATACATAGTTCTTTAGGTACGAATAATCCGTCAACTGTAAAGCCTTGAATGTCAACAAACGCGATCCTCATGATGTCTGATGCGGAACTGAGAGTCCTTCGTTGCTTACGAGATGGTTTTAATAACTTCGGTGAGGGGGAAGTACTCGATTAAGCAGTCATGTATAATGATGCAGTAGGCCTTGGTGTTGGTTGGAAAGCCAGCATCGGCTTCGATATCCAATCTAACATGAACAGTTGATGATTTCATGGTTTCCTCTTGTTTGGAACAGTCAATAACAAACAAAGCGCGATTTTTAAAAGCGGTATAATCTAAAAGACATCTCTTCAGAGAAGAAGAAGTTGTATAGCTGGTTTGAAAGTCGCTATAGTTGAAATGAGCTTCAGTAAAGTGATTGTTTGCAAAGTCCAATTGCATACGTTCGTTGGGATAGTATTCACCATTCAAAGATACTCGAATACTAGCAGCATTCACGTGATCAAATAGGGTAGGGTCTGAGGTTGCGACGTCACGTTTACCAGTTTGGAAACATACTATAATGAAACGTGGTCTTTCGATTGCGGTGCTAGTTTTAACTGACCATATTTCTCTTGTCGCATCTGCGGTAATTGCAGACAGTTCGTTCAGATCCCATTTTCTAAATGGTATACGTATCGGCTTATCAGTTTGAATAGCTTTCAAAAGTTGTTCTTTCACATCATCACTCGGGTAAATATGTTTGATTTTCAGTTCCATGCTTTCAATAGTTATTTTCGCTGTCGTCGTCGTCGTCGTTCCAGTTTTTTCCTTGATAATGATACAATCGTTATCGTTTCTAGCTCTCACAAATCTGAGAGTTTGTCTGCCACACGTAATCATAGGATAATCATTGAAAATGTTGAAAATATGTTTAAGCGGCATTAGCAAGCTAAAAGACTTGTTATGTGTTGACGCCATTATAGGTGTTGAAGGATAGTTCCATCCAGCTATAGCCATATGATTTGAGTCTTCCGCACTGTAACATACGTAAGCTCGGACAGTACTTACAATACCAAGATCACGTACTGTTTCAACTTCTCTAGCGGATTCACTGTAAGTGCAAGAGTCAAATAGGAAGGCACCAAAGTTTGGAGCTAAAGATACATCTCCTGCTGCTGCTGCTGCTCCAGTTATTTCAACTTTCCCTTTGATAGATAGAAGGGAAGCGTTCATTGCAAAGAACGAATCTACTTGATTGATGCTAAATTCCACAACATCATTACAATTAAATGACTTGATAAACGGCGTATAAGATCTATACTCAGCCTTGCGAATAGATTCATCGAATGCTGGAGAGCGATATAGATCAAACATCGGAGAAGTATGTGATGCTGCTGCTGCCTCCTCAGTTTTTCTCTTTTTGTACATGATTCTTGTTGTTGTTGACATGATATCCAAGTGAGCGGAGAAACAGGATATTTGATGTAGTTAGTAGTAGATGTCGTCGCTTAGGTGCTTGGGGTAATACTGAAGTTGCCTTGGAAGCACCACTATGTCTTATAATCACTAATCCCATCTGCGCTTCGCTCTCAACTCCAACACAAGAGTACTAGTTTCACCTTGAAAGTTTACAGGACGACCGTCTTGATCTAAAGCCAACACTGTGATGTTGGTTATTTCTTGTTTCGGTATAACAGGTAGATATAGTAAATTTACAGGTGTTTCGACTATAGCGTATCCAGGATCGGCTGTCACAGCAAATTCGTAGATCGTGTGTGCAGGCGTGTCTCCGTCAAAGGCTCCCGACGTAATGTTAGCATCAAAGTGTATGGTTGATACTTTTATTATGTTTACAGGTAAATCAGAAGAATGCTTTTAACCAGGATTAAGAACTTTTTTCGAGAATCCCAATAGATGTCCAAGATTATTCGGTTCTGTAAACACTATTTTATAATACTTGCTAAAGATTTCACATTGCAGTGTATTATTGTTAGGTTTTAGAGAAAAATAATCATCCGGAGGAGCAACTTCATTTTCAAGATTAATTTGCATTCGTATAAATGTTTCTATGTCGGTAATTTCATAACAGCCTGTCGGAAACTCGATGACTTTTAATTGACCACCACCACCTATCCGGTCGATATAATAAAATTTATCTCCTTTTTCAATATTGCGTATGGAATTGTATGAAGTAAAAGACCTAAGCGCCAATTCATAATCTTTTTTCAGATCCAACACTCGGTGTTGAAGGACGAAATGAAAATATATGAGTAGTGCTATTGACTCTCAACAACTGCGACATGATGAATGAAAAAATATAGCTGTGTACTAAACATTTATTCAAGTTTTTTTGTTTATTTTCGAATGGATAATTTACAGAAATAACAATTTGCTTGAGCAGTAGCCGGTCCATCCCAATGTGTTGCCCAATCAGGTCTGTTGTAGTGAACATAGCATGGAAGTCGTATTTGAAGATCAAAATTGGTTGTGTATTCTGCAGGCAGTTTGTGCCATATACTCAACAGTTCTGCAGGTCTCATATTGCTTATTAAATATTCCAGCGGCGGAATATTCTTCTCAAACTCTTCTAATGTAAATTCCGATAATGTTTTATTATCCATCGTTGTTGTTGTTGTTATTGTATAGAAATTTCAAACACAATTGTCCGCAATTAACTTGATTATAAGTTTGGTAAGGATCGTTGTTGTAGAAAATTTTAGCGTTTTTCAGATATCGAACAAGTTCCTGTGGAGGCTTCAGGTTACCAAATGAATCGAAATACTCAACGTTGTTGTTTATCTTTTTATAAGCTACCCAATGAGTTCCGTTGTTTTGTGAAATATCTAAGTTCACGACGGCGCATTCTCTTTTACGTGGACCGTCTCGTGGTAAAGTGTCACGCATGAAGACACCTCGGAAATGAGGTATGTTCAAGAGCTTCGCATATTGCTTTATTTCATAATCATAAAGCGCTTTCTTGGGTAGCTTGATGTTTAGTTTTTTTGACTTTTTTTTGAGGTACAACCCATAACCACCTTTAGCATTTTTTCTCAAATACAATCCTTTGCCCAAAGACTCCATAGCTTTGTTATGGCGATGGTCTTCCTCCAATTTCTTTTGTGCATTCTTGGCATCAACGACCGTTTTGGCCACACCTGCAGCTCCCCCTGCGAGCGCCCCCAAGGCACTTAATCCGGCGAAAAGGGGGATCAAGGGTAGGAATCCCCCAGATTTGCCTTCGATCGGAATTATTCTCGGTAGTCGAACTTTATGTTTTCCACCTGCACTCTTCACCGCTAATCTTGCCGCTTTAAGAGCAACCAATGCAGACTTTTTTAATGTCGTGGTGGTGGGAGCATTTTTCTTCAAGGACTTTTTGATTTTCGTGAGAACACCTCGTCGAAAAGATGATTTCTTCTGCCCCATACCCAATTTTCGCTTAACTTTCATTGCGGTGGTTGTTAGCCAAGCTGCAGTCTTTTCTCCTAGTGAAGCGTCAGGTGCTTTTACACGTTCCCAGGCTCGGTTCTCAAGAATCCAATCAGCTTTGTGTCTGTCTTTCAAATTTTTGTATAAGGCGTATGCAATATCGTGATCTCTTGCAGCATGATCCAATGGGTTCTTTCCAGGATCTCCTCGTGCTAACCTCTTCTTTAATTTAGTCCCCGCTGAAAATATACATATACATGTGTGAGAATGAAAAAAATATCCTAATTTGTCGCACACTTACGTCCCAGGAACTGATACGAAGGTACGTGGAGTTCTATCGGAAGATTATTTATCAGAGAGTTTACAACACCTTCACCCTTGTACGTTAACATGAGAACTGTTGATGATGCGTTAGCAATATCTACATATATACTTTTACACATTCCTTATTCGAACGCCACACGATGAAGGTTGTTCAACAAGAGCAGTCATTACCCATTGATAACTTGGATTTTACAGCAAAAACTCAACATAGTAAACATGGTAAATTGTTACCGAATTCGTTTCGCGCTATCATCTGCGGACCAAGCGGATGTGGAAAAACGAACGTAATGCTGGCGCTGCTTTTCCATCCAAACGGTGCTAAGTTTAAAAATGTTTATGTTTATGCAAAATCGTTGTATCAACCAAAGTATCAACTGCTTCAAGAAGTGATTTCCGCTGCTAAGGGCGTTGGCTATTTCCCATTTAAGGATAACGAGGAAATTATAAGTCCAAGTAAGGCTAAAAATAGCTCTATATTCATATTTGACGACGTGTCGTGTGACGGTCAGCAGAAAATTCGAGAGTATTACTCCATGTGTCGTCATAAAGATATCGATGCTGTATATCTCTGCCAAACATACTCTAAAATTCCAAAACAGCTCATACGAGACAACTGTAACATTATAGTATTATTTAAGCAGGATGAAATTAATCTAAAACATATATTTGATGAGCATGTATCTCCAGATGTTACTTTTGATGAATTCAAAAAGATGTGTTCGGAATGTTGGGCAGAAAAGTACGGTACGTTAGTTATTGTTAAA